AAGAGAGGTTGCATATTTCAGCCAGACAATGATCTGAAACACACCTCCTCCAAAACAGCCATGCAGGAAAGACAGAGAAAGGCTTTGGAATGGCCTTCCTTTACAGTGTGAAATATATTTCTGAGCCAGAAATGTTCTGCAAGGGAGAGAGAAAAAATGCTAAAAGCTTAGAAAGACACTTTGCTGTCTACAGGAAACGAGGGAGCTGGTATATCTACCTAAAGAAGAGTTACAAAGTGCTGACTAGGTGTCCAAATTTCTGCAGCAGCCATACTTGCTATTTTCTTAGTTTGACTCTGTAAACAACTGCACATAAATAGTAGGTACACATTCCAATTTTCAGAAAGATGTTGCATTTGACATTGCCCCATAGAGACTTTACGTCAGCTTCTCTTCACAGAGCCGCGCTTTCTACTCCAGAGGGCCAGGAGCAGAATATTAACTTGTTTTCTCCCTCCTTCCTTCCGGCCTGTGTCAATGTAATGCTTTTTTCTCTGCTGTCCTTTACCACTGAAGTGACTGGTCCAGGAAATGGCAACTTGTGGCAAACCCTCCAAACTGAAATCTCTCTTAAGCCATGTTTTAATTACGTTTAGCGCCATGTAAAGAAACACACTGATCCATCTGATCATTTCAAATAATGAGCTATACTTTAGACGGGTCCACTCCAGAGACAAGTGTCCTCATCGTCTCTCCTCAGTTGTTTTCTGGGTGCAATTAAAGTGCTGATTTTTATCTTCAAAGCTGTAAATTGCTCTGGGCCTCAGTACCTCAGGGGCTATCTGCTCACCTCCACTATCAGCAGGCCAGATCCTCGGTGTCAGGCTTGCAGGAAGAGATCTTTTCCCGCATGAACCCCACGCTAAGGGCACGCACGGCTTTGGGAAATGCGGTCAGCGGCAATACTTTTTATTTTCCCAAGAAAATGTAGATCCTTCTCTTCAAGCAAGCCTTTCGAGTTGGTGTCAAGGTCGGCAATAATTTTAACTGTTTTTATAAGATCTGTTTGCCTTCTTTTCAGCCGCCTTTGAGCGCCCTAACGGCTGAACGGCCTGGATATCAATCACGTTTATGTAACGTTAATCTGGGAATGCAGCTTTTCGAAGCATCTTGCCAAGAAAAAGACAGGATACATCTATCTGGCGCTTACCAGCCCTAACCCTCCAAATACTTCATTCCTGCTGCTCTACAATCTTAAAAACATATTGCAATCTGGAAGTTCGCCCCGGTTTGCAAAGCCACCTCCGAATGGCCAGAACTCGCAATTCGCCTGAAACCTGCAAACATTTTTGTCTGGCTCAGACCTACGTGCTGCCCAACGCGGTTGAGTTCCCCAAAGTACAGTTAAGATTTCAACCTCGCAGCCCGATCTTTAGCTAAAAGAAAGCCTACGTGTGCTAAATTGCCTACGGTGCTTACTTTCCGGCAAACGCGGTACTACAGGACTGCTTCCAAACCCACGCAGTTGAAGCGCTTCACGAGAAAGATTCAACAGATCTCCGCTTCCCCACTGCTAGGCGAGAGCCAAAGTGCAGCCCCGCCCACTGGAGAGGCTGACCCCGCCCCTTTTCTCCTCCCTCCTTCTCACCAAAACATTGGCACGTGCTCCATTGCTGCTCGTCACGTGAGGCAGACACCCTGGAAAGGCACCATGGCCGGTTAGCCAATGGCCGGGCGCAATCCCAGATGGCAACAAGCGCGGCGCAGACGGACCAATCAGCGAAAAGCAAGGGGGTGGGGATATGGAAGTTCCGTCTCGCTTCCCTCTATAACAATACCATAACGCTGGGAGTCGCTTGGGCTGCGCGGTCTTGGCTTGGGTGAGCATCGCGGGAGGGTCTCGCTGCTGTGGGCGAAGGGGCTTGGGGGCAGAGGGCGCCGTCGGCGCAAGAGGCGTTTGGGATGGCGGCGTTGCAGGACTGCCCCCAGCTCGGGCTGCAAGGGAGCCTTTTTGTTCTCCATTACGTTGGAGGCGAGCGTATGGGAAGTGGGGGAGGAATCCTCAGGCTGGCGGCTGCGTTTCCTTCTCTTTCCCACTGCTCCGCGGTACTGCCTGCACCAGCAAAGAGAAGTTCACGCGGGTTTCTGCAAGGCGAGAGTCGCCCAGAAGACTCTGATTCGTAGCACAGCCCTTTGCCCGAATTAATAGTGTCCTTCGGAACGTTCCCGCTGTTATAGTCAAACAGACAAATAAAGCACACATTGTAATGGTAAAGTGGCCTCTTGTCATAGTCGAGTCCTGTGGTGCCCGCTCAGAAGCAGATCAGTAACGTGGTAGGAACCCAAACGAAACACGGCTGAAAGATTCTTTACTTTCTTTTCTGTCCTTTCTTACTTTTTCTCCCCTCCTCCTCCTCCTTTCAAGGGCGCTTTCTTGGATCACTTCCCTGTTGCTGCTCCTCCAGTCACTCTTCGGAGGGTTACCCTTTGCTCTCCTGTCCCTAGAAAGTGGTGACGTGTCTTGGTCTCCTTTATCTCCTCCAAGGTGGCGAGTGAGGTGGACTGCAATGAGAGTTTGAATCCATAACACAGAATACCGGTTTCCCCATATTTTAAACCACCTGGTCACAATACAGTAATAACTTCCTCCTTAATTCAGTTTCAGTTAATTAATCCTTATCTTGCATTTGCAAGAGCATGTGCTGGAAAATGTGAGGCAACCCACAGCATTCACAGCATGCTTTTGGTCTTCTCCTGTTGCTTCCCGTTGACTTGTGGTTGAAAGTTCAGCAGCGAAAGGAAAGAGGTCCTGACAACATCAGCTGATCACCACTGACATTCTCCCCATCGGTGCCTGGCTGTCCCTTACTATACCTCTTTCTTTGTAAAAAGTTCTAAAGCTCACCCATGCCAAATAGCAGAATGGTTAATTAGCTTGATTGCTTGTTTCCTTAAGGAAACCATGCCTTTTCTGGGCCAGGACTGGCGATCTCCAGGATGGAGATGGATTAAAACAGAAGATGGTTGGAAGCGAAGTGAGCCTTGCAGCTCAGAACTTGAGGATGAAGGCAATCAGCTTAATGACGTCAATCGTGCTATGTAAGTTTTCTGGGAGAAGATGTAGACAAATGAAGATGGGGCTATTCATAACCTAGATCCTAGTTTAATTGTGCGGTATGAAGCTGCTGCGTGTGTATATATTATTGCCGTACCATTCATCCGTCTTATTCAGCCCACCCAGGAAGCTCGCTTGAGCCCACTGTTCAGTCCAGATGTGGATGTTTACTCATGTCACTCAGGGATGTAGCTGCGTAATTTTACTCTTCTGGATTTAGTATGTGTGTGTGCTTTCAATGGGGGAACAAGTTACTCCAGTTATGAAGCCCACATCTAACATGGGAATAAATACCATTTTGTTAGAGGAAAGGACTTTCTTGTTTGTTTTTTTACAAGACATGCCAGATTGCAGGCAAGCCACCTGGGGGATGCCCCGCTCCTGGAGCCATGTTGTGCTGCCTCTCTGTACAGCAGGTTAGAGAAATGGACCACTTTGGCCCTGCCTGGAGTCTGTCTTGAGGCAATCTGCTGGCCAATAGCGTGCAGACAGTGCTGTTGCCAAGCAGAAGCCGCATTCTGCTGAGTAGGATCTGGCTGCTCTTTCCTGGGGACACATTGAAGAGTCCTTGACTCAGATATCTGATGCAGTGATATGTCCCTGGGACATAGCACCTGAGCTAACCCACCAAACGCTGCTGCTGCTATCTGCCATTCTCTAGTCACTGCAGCCTCCCTAAATGGCAGGCCTGTGTATGTTGTGTAGTTTTTGGTGTGATGGGATCATGAACTGCTACCAGGATGGCTAAGAAATATGCTTTGCAGGCTTTTGTCAAGGCCACAGGAGAGGAAGAGAGGGGCATGGTGACAAACGTTGATGCCTGTTTAAGTTAAGCCCAGAAAGATGGATGTAAATAAAGGAGATGGTGGGTTTTGAATGATGTTGGTAAACCCAGGCTGCTGGTTTCTGGATTTTAGACTTAAGAAAACACACTCCTCTTGGAATAAAACATTTGTAGGTTTCAGTAGAATATTTTGCAGCCAGCTACAATTAACTGCAAAAGATCTTATCACTGCTTTGAAATACAGAACTTAAAATCTTACACAGTTGACCAACTATGATCTTGTAAATGTTAAAAACCAGTACCCTCCTGTTGTTTCTAAACACTTTAAATCAGTTATTAAAGCGTGATGGTACAAGCTGTGTACCCTTCATGGTGAGGAGACATCCATTTTGTGTAAGATAAGAAGAGCTGAAAGCTACTTGTAGTTATTTAAAATATCGTGGTATTCATCGGTAATGTAACAACCAAATTATCTGAAACAGTGTTGCCATGGGGACTTCAGTATTTAAAATACAAGGTGGGCTGTTAGACCCATGTTGCTAAAACTAGGTTTGAGCTGAAAAAAAAAATGAAATTGCAGACTTGGGGAGAAGCAGTATTGTCTTCACCACAAAGATATTCAAAAAATAGTGGCTTGAAAACACAAGATCTAATCTTCCAATAGTAGCAAAGAGGCCATGAGAGTACTATTACAGAAAAAAGAGTCTCTGGTTTTATATATTTATTCATACAGGAACAGAAGTCCTTGGGTGCAGTCACTGACCTTTCTAATGGCAATAACAAAATGGTATTTTTTAGGTGCGGCTGTTCTTCTGCCTTGCTTAATTTGCCAGCTTTTCCCAATGAGTACTCTCTGGATTGAGAAGTGCTGGGTTTCCCAGAATTCCAAGCCCACATAGCCACTGGCTGTAGTTGCAGTATATCAGAAGGATGCCGGTTGGGGAAGGCTGAATTGTACCATATCTCCAAATTGACCATAATTGATTGAAAATCACTGATCAGTAACAAGAATGAAAAGGTGAGTTTGCTTTTAGGTGAAAGACAGACAAACTTAAAAACCATAGCTGTATCTAGGCTGCAAAAATACAAACAACTGCTCAGTGACTGCGAAGCAATATAAAGAACTCTCTTTGCTGCCATCTAGTGATCATCTAGATATTTGCAGCCTGGATATGGTAGCCCTAAATAAAGAATCTGGAGATTGGCATAGTTTAAAAGCCTGGAAGTTTATAGTTTAGCTTAATATTTTACCAATGTGCACATACAGTCCCTTTGTTTCTTTGAGCAGTCAAACTAAGAAACCTGGGTTCCCTTGATAATGGTTTAATATCTGGCTTGTTTTGAAGCAAACTGAATAACCATAGTTTAAACAACATGGGAAACTTTGGTTAGTTAAAATGTTCCTGCTTGGATTTTTCAGTAGCAAGCTTTTATGTATGGACAAAATAATGTTCATTTCTGAATACGTCATGCTAAAAATGCTCCTTTAAATATGATCTGAAGAAGATTTAAAGCATTCTGTTTAGCCTGATGCTCTCCAGATGTGTACAAGGTAGGGAGCCTCTTAACTCTCCAGATCCTACATTTTGTGAGAGATTCCATGCCTATTATATCTAAAATTTGTCTTTGTTCTTCACAGCTGGATCACATAATTTGCCCATGAGTAATAGTCACAACACTGGCCACTTGCAGCTGATGAATTCCAGCTAATTGCAACAAATGTTTTGAATCTTCCTAAACTGTTTGCTCTGTGCTGTGTAAGGCTATTTCATTTTATGAGGTCACCCACCACTTTCTACATTGTTTGCTTGTCTATTAACTCTGTTCCTAGTGCAACATGTCTGCAAATTTGCTTTTACCTGGGAATCAATAATTATAAGGAATAGGGTTGCAGTTCTAATAGCTATGTTTTAAACAAAGTTACTCAGAACATATAAGAATATGATTGCAGCCTAAATATGCCTACTTTTTTATAAGTGTCAAGGAACAGTAAAGTTTCACCCTGAAATCAACTTGCTGATAACAAATGTTTATGCTTCTTTGATTAATATCTGTATTTTAACTAGAAGCTAAGTACATTGTGTCTAACATTTTAGCATATGCTGTAATTTATTATGTAATACTGTATAGTAAATTACAATTTTCTAAGGTAGTAGTTCTCCAGCTTTTTCAGCATGATGATCTCTTGTTAGATCAAAACTTTTGCAGCCCCTCACATGATAATCGTTGTCTTTTTAGTAACCGTTGACTAAAATAAAACACCGTGACAAAGTTAGTATGAATCCATTAGTGCATTTATATCCTTGGTTGGGTTTTTGCTATTTCTCCCTTTCAGTTATGTGTAATACTCTTTTTAAACCAAAATCTTTTATTTCGGTTTTATAACAAATAAAACAAGCTACAGCCTCCAAGAGGCCACCTGAAGCTGGATAGGGAGTTCAAAACTCTAGGGCAAGAATGGCGTTAGGCAGAAACAAAGCAAGCAGTAATGTAAGTTCTGTACTTTTGTGGGGTCCTCATTCAAATTTAACTAGGCCTGATGCCATTTAGTTTTTGGGGGACCAGCCAAAATTATATAATGCTTTCACTTGTTGCAAGTTGATCCAGATTTACGCCATAGTAAAAGTGTGCAGGAGCACACTTTATCCTCCATTGGCTCACCTAGAGATCAACACTAATGTGACGCTGAGGGCCAGGAACCTAGCCTGAAAGCCTCAGGAGTGCCCTCAAAGTGCTAACCCCTTGACAGTTCCTTTCCTTTCTCCTCACATTCTGCATTTCTCACTTTGTGGATTCACACAACATGCTTGAAACCATGATGTGGTCGGCTTACACTTTATGTGTTGTCTAAACTGAGCATATTGCTGTTGGTTCAAGGAAGGTGGGCAAAACAAGACAGCAGGATGTCAAGTGAGCACAGCTCTTCTGACCCTAACTCACCATCTGTCCCAGAATCCCTCCTTCCGTCCTCTCAGTCCTCCTTCCTCCTCTTGCTGAGAGAAGGCAGGGTCATTTTCAAGAGGCCAACAGTTTTGTAGATGAGAAGGGGAGAAGGAAAATAAGAAAATATAGCACCAGAACTCAGTGTTTCATGGCTTCAGCTAATGGTCAGCTGTAATGGAAATTGACTGTTCTGGAAGGGGTGCAGATGACGACATATCCTCAAGAGCCAATGTGCTGAATTTCAGTTCCCATAGTGCCCAGCTAGCATGACTGCTGACAAGGGATAACAGGCATTTGTTCAAACAATTTTTGGAGAGCCATGGCCTACCTGCTCCTTCCACAAATTTATTTCTGTGTGGATGTACAGCAGTGCATAGATTGGGATTGAATGGAGTATTCCTGATATTTTAGCTGTTTCATTTAAATCAAATACTTTGGTCTTTCATAACTGAATTACTCATCCTTCTAGCTATTAACTTCTGTATTTTCGGTGGTATTTTGGCAGAATCTTTGTGTAAATGGAAGTGAACTTGAAGTTTCAGCTGAGTCCAAGTTAGCAATATCAGGTTTAGACTCTTTCTTTGGAATAAATCCCAGGTCTCTGGCCTTGTGCTTCATAGCACTTGGGCTAAATCTATTTTCCCTGTTGAGATCTTTTCCTTTAAAATATGTTATTGGAAGAATTTGTTTTTGATTCTAGTTCAGATTTAATGTAGAGCAGATAATTGTTTTGCCACATATGACTGGCTGTGTTTGGATTTTTTTTTAAAGATTTCCAAAGAGATTTTTTTTTTCTCTTCAAAAACTTGGGTTGCAATGTAGAATTCATGGTGCGCTGTCCTGTTTTAATAGTTACTGTTTTATCCCTAGAGAAGTGGGTGGAAAATTTTTTCCTGTACCCTCCATTCTTTTTTCCTTGTCTTTGATATTTACCATGTCCAAGTTATATAGTACAGTAGGAGTTTCTTAAATCTGAATTGACAGTGATAAATACTTTTCATTTGACTTACTGAGCTCAGTGAATAGAGAAAATTCCTATACCCAATTTTCCCATCAGAGAATAAAAATAGCAAGGTAACACATTTTTTTTTCATAGTGTTGTATTGTTCATGTTGTATAGCTTCAGCAGTTCTGTGAATTCAGCAAAGCAGACAATCTTGGGTTGGATTCTGGAAAAATAAAGTTTGCTGTGTCTTTTTACAAAACTACTTTTAAAAAATTTTCTTTATGAGAACTGAAACTGTAATTATAGAATAGTCATAAATCACTTGGTACTTTTTACATTAAACTCATATTTAAAGGAAGTTTAAAAATATCTTGAAAAGCACAAAATACTGGAGCTAAAACAGAAATCAAATATTGTATAACCCTTGTGTATAATTTTTACTGGAACTGTTTTTTTCTCTCTGCCTGAGCTGTAGTTGACTTGTTTACTTACTTTGCTTGGAAAGAATTATGTGAATTTATAATTACTTCACTTATACCAATAATAATTCATATATTGTTATTATTGCTAGAAATTATGTGAAGACTTTCCCAGCTGATTCATACTTGTCGCTTGCAAGCCTGGACACGCTGCATGCTTGCTTTTTCATATTTATTTGAAGAGGAGATCACTGAGACCTGATTGGTTTCAAAAGCTGTAGGAATTATTTTGTACCTGTAGTATGTATTGTAACCTTCTTTTCCATAACGACTTTCCACCCTTCACATACATAAATTTTAAATGATTTAACTCAGGAAGCTATGTCAAAGGTTCTCTTCTGAAGAAAATATGCATAATATGAAGTCCAATTCTATACATTTCTTGAAAGTTCTGGGGTAACAGTGCCATTTAAGTGGTGTGGAGGATGACCGAAGAAAGTCATTAACCAAATATTGCCAAAGATCCTTGGACTAATCAAAGATTCACTCTTATATTGCTTTACAATGGATCTTGGAATAACACCAGGACTGAAAACAATAATTGTGCAACTCGCCTGCTGTTTTGTATGTCATCACAGTTCTCATGCTAGATCGGTCATACCCTACTTGGGCACCCCCAGTTGCATGGGCTATAATTCTTAGCAGAGGCCAAGCTAACTGAGGAATTCTGAACATTGAAATCTATACATCTGGAGGGTGTCCAGGTAAGGGAAGACTGTGCTAGATCAGTCCAAATAGTGTTGAAACAATGGCTCCAATTGATAACCATTGACTTTCCCCTTCAACGTATTCAATCCCACATTTCAGCTCAAGCTCAACTGCAACAGTTGTGACGAGCATTATCTATCAAAAATTACAAAGTAAGCCTCAACAACAAACTGCTATTGCAGCATTAAACCAGTTACAAACTACTGTTTAAAGGCAAGATATTTAGATAATTTGTCAATTGGGAAACATTCTTGTCCAGCGAACAGGTGACTAATTGTAGAACACAGCAATCATATGCAGCATGTATAATAACATTATACGATTTAGGATACTTAGATGGACAACAGAATCGTTGATCCCGCGTGGGCATCCTAAATAAATGTTAAGGAAGCACATTAGACAGATAACTTATTCTTCCCAACCTACTCCCAGAAGGCCCAAACATCCCAGATCTGGCCACTCAGCCACACAACAGAGCACCTTCCCTGTTGCTGCTGCCTTTGTATACAACCAGCCCCAGATAAGCGAAGATCTATCCTGGTCTTTAAGTAGAACAGAAGTCGGTGCAGCAGAAATCTACAACAGCAAGGAGACATTTTTTCTGAATCAAGATTGTTTTATTAGAGCCAATAAGGCACAAAGTATAAATAAATAAACCAGCCTAACTCTCTAGTGAAAACTTAATCATGTTCATTACCAAGTTAGGAAAGGTTTTATGAAATAGTTGCCAACAGACACAGTCCAGAATGCCAATTGGGCCAACCTCCTAATTATTTTCTGTGAGTTATACTTTCTCATACATATCATTTCAGCAACTGTTCCATATTTATGTTTTAACTATTGCTGTTTTCACATTGTTTTTCAGTTGGATGGTAAATTTCTTTGAGAGGTTTCACAGGAAGCCATATCTCAAGGTGGTTAATAAATAAATCAGACTCAGGGCCCTGATCCATATCCTCCAGCGTTAGCAAGACTTGCCTTTCTGAAGACTGCCATGGGGCATCTTTACGTAGAGGTGGCAGAATAGAACCAGAGCCATTCTGTGTGTGAAGTGAACTCAGCACATCCATACCTGGAGACCAGGAATGTCTTTGTAAATGAAAGACAGTTAGCTCTTTTCTTCTTCCAGGGCAGCACTGTGTTGCAAGTGACTTCATCCAAGTTCTTCACCCTTGTGCTTGTTTACAAGTTGCTTGAGCACAGCCTGCTTGGCTCTTTCCTATGTCAAACACGTTTCAGGGATTGTCTCTGTGGTTTGCTTTCAGCATCTTGAACCGTGATGAAGACATATGCAGTGTCGAGTGTGAATTTGCAAGCAAAAAAAGGAAAAAGGATCACTTTAGGAACGCTGCAAAATCTCAGTGTAAGCAAGAATTGCTTTTCAGTTTTTAATGCCATTTGCAATTTGACAGTACAAAATAACTTTTGTGTCTCAGCAGAACCATTATAAGTATGCACACAAAATACTTGTGTACAGTTAGTCCCTGGGTTAAGAATGTCCAGTTTACAGATGACCCATAGTTAAGAACGGAGCCTATTGTAGCAAAATTCGAGTTAAATACACAGTGATTTGAGTTAAATACACAGTGGTTCAAGTTCATTACACAATACTACTTAATATACTTACTTACAATACTACTTATATATATAATACTGGCTTACATACAAGTTCAACTTAAGGACCGACCTTGAGAACGGAACTCGTTCTTAAACTGGGGACTACCTGTACATGAGAAGCACAAACTAGGTAAGGTGTGTGTGTATGTGTGTAAAAAGCTGGATACTATATGTGATAAGGTTAGGATTTACACCAAAGTGTTTCTAGTTAAAAAAAAATAAGAAAGGATTTATCTGTAGACTTATACAGTTGCCCGTTAAAGTTATTTAAGTTGCCCTTAAATATGTTTTAAGGATTTTCACTTTTGAAGGCTCCTAGTACGGCTGAACATGCCTTGAAAAAGATTCAGGAGAAGTACCTCAGACAAAGCACCAGCACAGCCTTCCCTGCTATTCATTAAAATAGGCTGACTCTTTCAGGCTTCCACCCGGGCCTGAAAAGAAGGTGCTGTGCTCTGGGAGTTCAACTCAGTAAAGTTAATGCACAGAAGCCTGGAAAAAGTTAGGCATGAATAACCGAGAAGAGCTCTGCTTGTGCTCAAGCTGAAGTACTACTTGCTGAAGCATCCCCAGCCCTAGTACTTAGCTTGAAAGTTTCTGAGGTAGAATCCAAAGCTAGTTGTAGATGTGGCTACATACTCAAGATGTATAGCTGTGACCTGAAAGTGTTTCCCAGTCAGATTCACCTCCAGATTATTCCAGGAAATCATATGCTGGCTCTAGTTAGAATATAAATCTGATGTGTTGTTGGCTGGGCTGATTCCACTAAACAAGGGTCTGAATTGGCACAGAGAAGGCAGGCCTTTCTCTTTTTTAAGATGGTTGCAAACGCTTTTAAATTGTACAGAATGTCATTCCAGTGTAACATGATGATTAACTAGAGGGGAGAGGCATTACAAGAACTGGTATGTTAATTATATTTCTGTTGTGACTAGTGAGAGGCCGTTTTTGCTGGTCATTTTGTGAATCACATTCTTTCCCAAAGGCTAACAGTCTAGTTTTTTTTTTTTTTAAGTGAAAAACTAGTGAGGGAAGCCCCCTTCAAGCTCAACAGAAGCAGAAAGAAAAAGAGCTCACCATAAGGACCTCCTCCCCCTCCCAGTTTGATATGACAAGTGAATTGAACCAGTTTTATCTTCTCTGCTCCACAGATTGAAATTTCATCCTAAGCTGAATCTGTAAATGTTGTCCTCTTTGTGCTGTTATTTTCCCTGAACTCTCAACTTAGGTAGCCTATGAAGTAACTGGAAATGTGTGATGTTGGTGATGAAGACCTCTAAATACTGTGTGATGTACTTGCCCAAAGAGACCATTCACTCCATTCCTCTAGGTTTGAATGAGGGCAGTCTGTTAAAGGGCTGTCCTACACGTATATCTGATCATCTTTATTTAATAATGTTTGAATAGTCTAGTTGACAGGACAACAAACACATGATCAGATGTGTGGATTCATTGGAGTAATTCACAGAATAGCCTTAAGACAAAACTTACTGTGCCAGTCCTTGATTGATCAATATTAAATCTTACCTGATATTTACAGTAGTACCACATTCTGACCCATATGGAAAGCCTGTTTGAAATGGCTACAATCCTGCTAGCCAACTCTTTGGTGGGAGTGACTCCAAATTCAGCCTGTGCTCCAATTTCTGAATATATTTAATACTTCTGAATGGACTTGGCTTACAAATAGCGCAACCTGTCAGTCAGGGAAGGGAGCCATGGATAACAAAAAATCTTCATCCACTTTTTAATAATAGCCTAGTTGGGTCAGGGGAAAAGTAGTTGGGATTTTAAAAAATTAGTGTAAAAGCTTTCCCTCCTTCGTATATTTTAAAGTATTATTTTGTACAAGTGGACTTTTTCCAGGAATTGTATTATTAAAGCCCTTTGCCAAAGAGAACGTATTTCTGAAAGTTGTAACGATGATGACAATTGACTCTTTCCAGTTTTGAAGGGAAGGGGAACGTATGTAAGCCTTGCTACAGTGTTCATGTTTGCCCACCATAAAGTTGTGGGAAATAAAATTCAGTGTTGTCAAAAAGGGTTTTGAGTGCCATAAAAAAAGGAATCTGGGCAAGGGAGAATGTTGTCCATCCTAGTCTTGCAAGGTGTTCACTGAGTTTGTGCTTGATTCTGTTTTCAGGTTTCTATCGTGAAAACTGGATTTATGTTCATAAAGAAAGTACCCGAGAAGTAAGTGTTCTGTACAGTGACTGTTTCCAAGGGACCCTGGTAGTCCCTCATTTAACTAATCTGTTCTTGCAACTGCAGAAAGGGGGTGTATGTTAAGTCTTGCAGGATGTGGACAGCTTACCAAACTTTGTGATCGATTTATTCGTATTATCTGTTAAAAAAAAAAAAAAAGTTCCAATGTGAGACTTGAGGATTAGGAGCATCACTATCAATCATTTTTTACTTTTTCTCCCCATACCTTATATTTGCTACCTTAATTAGTCTAAAGTACAATGTTACATACATGCCTTCCCTCTTGAGACGTAAGAAAAAGCATTTCAGGCATGGGAAACCTGCCACGTAGAGGTAGAATGAACCTTGTTGGGTTTATATAGATACTTCCTCTTGCTTCCCTCCGTTCTCCTTTATACTCCTGTGGTGAAGATGTTGGGAGACCAGGCAGCTTGGAAACCGTGGAGCATTAGCTGCTGTGTGAAAGGCTTTTTGTGTAACTTGTTCACTTCTGATTCCTGCTGCCTGGTCCCTCTTTAGGACAGGTCCTTTTGCATATCTAACATGTGTTTCCGTTCTTTGTTTCAAGAGGCATGGCTATTGCACTTTGGGAGAAGCTTTCAATCGTTTGGATTTTTCAAGTGCAATTCAGGACATCAGGAGGTTCAATTACGTGGTTAAAGTAAGATGTTTCTGTACTGTGTAGTTCCATGATTGAATTTATTCTTATAGTTAACTTAATGAACATGCCTTATGCTGCTGACCTTTTGAGGTGATTCAGAACAAGCTTTAACTAGTGTAAAATGTGGTTGTCTGAATGTTGATTGGTATAATGCATTCAAATGGCCTTGCATTGATTTCACTATCTATCTACCTACTTACATCGCAACTCAATTCAATATATTTTTACCAGAGTAGTTACAAGGAACCCTCTTTACTCACTGAAGCTTCTCATACCCAGAGAACCCCTTACATAGCAGCATTAATCCTGCACATTGTCTAAAGTTACTGTTCTGCGCTTTGTATGAGCCACAGAGTTGGATTCATTCAGATATATTTACTTGATTAAACATGCTTAGGATTATGCTGAAATTAACTTAAGTATATTTAAATTAAATATTCAGACAAACTGAGCATCTGAGTGTGCTTCCTTTCTGGGTGATTTTTGTTGATTTTCTTAATCCTCCTGTTGAAATCAGTGGGAAATGCTGTTGCTGGAATGTGCTTCAAATGCTCAAGCAAAGTAATAATATTTGCATTTCTCTTATAAATGTTTGATGAAGTATAGCAAAAACACTTTCTAGAGTTCAAAAATATTTTTGAGAATGGCTTTGGAAGAGTTCATTTTCCATCTGCTATGCAGGAACTCAAAAACTATTTTTTATATGGCATCCTGCAAAAACTGTCACTCAGGAAGTGCCTTTGGTTTGAAGTTGATAGGACTAAATTGGAGGGGAATTGTATGTCACTCTTAAAGCAACTTCTGATGTTAAGAGCGAGTAGACAGGTGGATGCACAAGTGACTTGCACTCCCGCTGTGACACTCAAAAGGGAATTTGCACACATGCAGAGAAAGGCAAGCCCTGGATTCAAAGACTGGCTCCTTTTGACAGCGTTGGAAGTCATTCTCTTGCACTCTGCTTGATCGTCACTGCTGCAATTTCTTGTTATTAATATGTGTCATTTGACTTTACATATTGTTTAAGGGTGGCTGTTTTCTTTCAGCTTCTGCAGTTAATAGCAAAATCCCAGTTGACATCTTTGAGTGGTGCAGCTCAAAAGAACTACTTCAACATTTTGGACAAAATTGTTCAAAAAGGTAAAGCTGCCTTATGTTCTCAGAATTCCAGGTGTGTCCACTGACCCCAAAAGATTGCCTACCAGTGGGGTTATTTGTGCATTAGACGAGTTCATTCTGATAAATACTGGCTAAGGATTAGCTAGTCTGACCATATTACCTGCTCATTTGAAGCATGCCATGTGGCAGGTTCTGTTTCAACTAAGAGAACGAAAAATCTGTACGTTGTACTTAAAATCAGGTTTACTCATCTGCCTATGTATATATTTCAATTCCTATTCCAAGTTTTGGAAGACCAGTACAACCCACGCCTGATTAAAGACCTTCTTCAGGACCTAAGTTCCACCCTCTGCATGTTAATCAGGAGTGTAGGGAAATCGGTGCTGGTAGGAAACATCAACATTTGGATTTGCCGATTGGAAACTATCCTGGTATGGCAGCAGCAACTCAGTAATCTTCAGATGACCAAGGTACATCCAGCTTTTATGCCCTCGTTAAATCCGGAAGAATCATTTGGAGAAGCTCTGAGGCAAAGTGGGACACCTTTTCTCTGAGAAGCTCATTAAGGATTATCTCCCCTCCTTTTTCTGTTTAGGACAGATTTTAAGAAAGCATGAAACAAACCCTTAATCTAAAAACTAGACTATCTGGGAAGAAACAGAAATGACAATTAGCTAAAATATGAAGAAACGGGCAATGTTTTGTTTTTGGTGTTGGATTTTTTTTTTAAAAAAATGATTCTTTCTAAGAACTGAATATTAATATTTGAGCACCTGGAAATGTGATATATAGCAATACATAGTTAGCCTACTCCTGATTTTTAGAACTATTGGAACTTTTAGATTTGACTTTAGAACATCATGTTTATTTATAGAGCTTTGCTTTTAATATAAATGTTTAATTTTTTAATCCTGTTGTTGTATGCTTGAGGTTTAAATTAACAGACAACTAACAATAGTGAATTTGGTTTTCAGCATATCAACAATGGACTTACACTTAGCGATCTTCCTTTACATATGCTGAACAACATCTTACATAGATTCTCAGATGGATGGGACATCATTACTTTGGGACAAGTGTCTCCAACATTATATATGCTCAGTGAAGATAGGCAGTTATGGAAAAAACTCTGCCAATATCATTTTGCTGAAAAACAAGTAAGAGAAACTTTTATTGTACATCTACTTCTGTCTAGCGAGGTTCTGAAACTTTGCTCCTATGTAAAGAAGTCAGAAAAAGTGGAGAAAGAAAAAGGAAGCCACTTCCAACATTTGCTTGCAGTTCCAGAAGGAAGTGTGTGACAACCATTAGTAATACTCTTTTGCTCTCCTATGTGCACTGTAATTGGTTCAGAAAGAAATCCCATTGGTTTCAGTGGAATGTACTTCCAATTAAGTATACATTTGACGGCAAAGGGTACGTTTATAAATCTAGACCAGTGTTTTTCAAACTTGGCAGCTTTAAGATATGTGGACTTCAGCTCCCAGAAGTCTACACATCTTAAAGTTGCCAAGTTTGAAAAACACTGGTCTAGACCCATGTTTTGCTCAGCTTGAATAGGTCTATAATAATTGAGAAATATTCATCGATCATTGCTTAGCATGCCATAACTTAACAATTTATGGGCAGAGGCCAAAAAAAGCTTAGTCAGTAATCACCTAACTTATTTTACAAATTATTTTCTAAAACTTTTCTTCTGATGCATACAGTTCTTTTCCATTACTGTTCTCTGAGCTGACTGCTGGATAAAGCATGATTGCCCTCAAATGTTATTTTTTATGTTCAGTTTTGTAGGCATCTTATTCTGTCAGAAAAAGGTCATATTGACTGGAAGCTGATGTATTTTGCACTTCAGAAATGTTATCCCATTAAGGAACAATATGGAGACACCTTGCAATTTTGTCGTCACTGCAGCATTCTATTCTGGAAGGTAAGAAACATGTAAAACTTTGGAATAAAGAAAAATTATTAGCAGTGTATTAATTAATATCTGTTCACAGACTCCTGGAATGATCATTGTTCCAACATATAAATAGCTTTCCAATTAAAATATGCAATTGAAAAGTTCAGCTTTGTGCTGCGAGAAATAATAATATGCCTGCAGAAATCACTTTAGGAATACATACATTTCCATTAAAAACATACCAAAGAGTTGCACCAGCTTTGATGTTGCTAGATATACTAGCAAATAAATGTTTCCATTTTATTTGGAACTTCTGCTTACTCTCAAACTGAGCAATGTGTATGCAAAAGCTGGCTTTGCAAACAGGTCCATTAAAGGTATTAACCCATGCCTTTCTCATATTAGCCTCTTAAATAAATGTGACCCTGAACAAATAATTTGTGTTTGAAAGCTGAGGCATCAAGAACAAATGGAATGGGTTTTACAGCCTGAAAATGTTCCAGGTCTCTTTAGCAAAGCCAACACCAACCCCTGTGGCCTTGTGCCGCTCGAAATGTTTGCAAGCCGTTTGAAGCTTATAGGGAAGATGTAGGAATTCCTATGCCATTGTTGGGATGATCCCTGCCCCCCTCTCCAGCTTCAAAGCTTGCGGAAGAGTGACCGTCTCCCGCTTCTGGAGCAGGTTTATTAAAGCCTGCTCGTCAAAATATAATATGAAGTCCCATGTAGCACCCTGCTTCCTGTAGTTGGATGCTTCTGAGAAGCTGCTAAAAGGATGCGTGGATAGTAGCTCTCTCTGCTGCTTTTCCCCAGTGGCTGTCTGATTCTAGAGGGGCGATATAGGCGCTCAGGGGTTTCGTTGGTTTGCACGTCTTGTGATATCCAGCATAAATCCTAAGGATGCTTTCAGTCAGATTTATGACAAGGACACACTTGTGCTCGTTGCCTTCCCGGCGACTGCCTTTGCCTGTGCAGCCTTGATGAGCAGAAGTGAAGCAAGACAAGCCTCCTACAGAAAAGCGCTCCAAGGCTGAAATGCTAAAAATAGGGATAAAGAATGAGATAGTAATAGCTAACGCTGGTCAATAGCAATGACTAATTGTCATATTAAAAGCTTTCTTCTGTAATGTTTGATGTCTAACATTTTACTTTATTGATAAGGAGAACGGATCCATTGGTTTCAGCTAACCGGCTTCCAAGAAATATATTGCTGATTTGCTACTTTAATTGTTTTTCAAGGGGGGAGAAATTTGCCTTTCAATCTTTGTTTGATATTTGATAGCAGTGCCCCACAGCACACTGTTGTAACCGTGAATGGAATGCTAGTTCTGTCCAATAAAATCTTCCTCTCTCTTGTTTCACTGCCCTCCTTCCTGTCTCTTCCTCCATGACTTCAAAAGGACTACCACCTTGCTTTGTTATTCAAGGTACTTTTCAACTTGGCTTTCTTCTGTGTCCGTGCTGTTGTAACTGAAATGAAAAGAAGTGCCCTTTATAAGTAGAATGTCACAAACCTGAACGTGCTGCTCTCATAACTGTTGGCATTCTAGAATTGTGCCCCTTAACTTGAGAATCCAGATGTGTGGGAACTACCACTTCCAGAAGTTATCCATTTATGGGGGAAAGGGTGCTTTAAATTGCAAGATTCTGCCCACTTCCAGAAGCAATAGCAGTGTTTGGTTAACATCTATTTCATGTGCTTTTTCTCTTAAAGGGATAGTCAGATTACTTATTGGAGTTTTAGCTAATACTTGATAGAATTGGGAGCATACTAAGCAAAGGCCAGTGGCTTTTTGACCTCAACTACCTCAATTATTCCTCAACCCAGCCTTGGATAGTGTGTTACAAGTGGAGACCAAGAGCAGAAAGCCATGCGAGGCGCATATTAGGTCTTGCATTGCATTCGTACAGTGCCTGTCCTCTAAGGACTTTAGATGGCACGTATGACCCCTTCAGTTTTATATGGCAATGCTGTGAAGACTAAGTTGAGACAGTGACTAATCCAGCATACTGAGTGGCTGAATGGTGTGTGTGCGCATGTGCACACACAGTTGTCTCCCCCTCCTAGTTTGACATTCTAACTATGGATTATTCATGCCAAGAGGAGTGAAGCATGTGGTAAATTAAATAATTGAGTAAATTGAGTAAATCTGAATAATCTGGGTGAGGGAAGGTCATTCTGACTCCCAAAATAAGGCCCAATTAGATACACTCATAGTATAAGTCACGTCCTCTGTATCTGTATCTCTGTAAAGTTAGCCTTTATAAGCCATGTCCTCTGTATTTGGGACAGATGGCCTCCCTATCCCCCATTAGTATTTCAGACAAGTGGTCAGGAACATTTGTATTGCCTTCCTTCTAGACAGACTGTTTCCCCTTTCTTTCTGGATTTTGGCTTTTTAAAATCACAGCTTTCTGATCTCTTATTACTGTAAATCTTCCCACAAGCAGTGTTCATCAGAATGAGAATTGTTGTTAAAATGCCTAGTTAGGCACATGTGGGGCTTCTTATGCTTCTGATGTTCTCCTGAGTTCAGATCCCTAATAATAATAAGGGATATCTTCCAAACAAATTATGAAAAGAGAGGGAATGACTTGATGGTATTAGAATGTAACACAAACTCAATAATAATGAACTGGAATTCCAAGTACACCTGCAGATACCACAGATATTTCTCTTGCAACCACCCAGGTTCTACCTGTTTTTTTAATTTAAACAAATACATTGGAAACTGGCCTACTGGAAAGGGCCAGCATTGTTTTAGGACCTCATAAAGCATTCTTCGAAAATAAAAGTGATGTGTGATTACAGCCCAGAGATTTACATAAAAGAGCGCCTACCTACTCAGAGAAAAAATGAAAGTCATCTGAGGTGTTAGAAAACATCCTGCAAGGATGGATGGGTTGGTGAGAGCAATCTCAGCAGTTTGCCCTGTAGAAAATGGGCATTTTATGGCAAACCACACCAACCACAGCAGTCATCATATTAACAGAGGTAACAAGAACTGAGGTGAGCAGTCAAACTGACAATCTAAAAATAAATAAACAGTAGCTCTTAAAGAACTTAAATACAAAATTGCTGATCTTTTCACAAAAATTAGGCACTTTAACTTTGGCTATTTTCAAATTCTGAGGAACAAGCACCAATATAACCCTAGTTTTTAAAAGTGGATTGAATGGCAATAAAAAAAACACTATAGATCAGTTAGTTTAACGTATCTTCCAGGGCAAATGGTTAAAAGAATTATTAAGGGGGATATTTCTGTGATAGAAGAATGTATCTTGTGAAAAGGAAAGATATGGCTTCTTCAGATATGGATGGATGGAAGGAAGGAAGGAAGGAAGGAAGGAAGGAAGGAAGGAAGGAAGGAAGGAAGGAAGGAAGGAAAGAAGGATAGAGGTTTTTTTAGGGTGTTAAGCATGTAGACAGAGGTGACCTAATAGATACTCTATGCTTGGACTCGAAAAAATCTCTTGGCAAAGCCCACTTCCAAAGGTTTTTGAACAAATTCAGTTGCCCCATAAGAGGTTAGGCACTCTCATGGACTGGCAACTGGTTAAAAAAAGAAGCAGAGTAGGCATAAATGGACAGTCCTCCCATTGGTAGGATGTGCAAAGTGGTGCCCACCAGGGATCATGTGTGCAACTAATGCTTTAACTTGTACATAAATGATCTGGAGTTACTGCTGAGTAGTGAGATGCCCATGTTTGCTGTTCAGGATGGTAAAATCAAGAAGGGATTGTGAAGAGTTCCAGAAGGATCTATCCAACATGGGATGCTTCAGAATGGCAAAAGCTGTTCAGTGTCAACACATGTAAAACAAAGCATGCTGGCCCAGAAAGATTCCCCAAACTGGTTACTGCCCTGGCAGTGATGGATTAGGAATGGAATCTTGGAGTCATAGTGAACAATTTGATGCAAATGTCAACCCACTGGCAGTTGTTGTAAACAAAGCAAAAACCCTGCTGGGTATTATTAGGAGGAGAATTGAAAATAAAACTGCTGATGTAGGAATGCCTTATACAGATCTAAGGTGAGACCATGCTCAAAGGATTGTATACAGTTTTTGAATACCATGCCTGAAGAAGAATACCACAAAACTAGAAAAACTGGGGAAAGGCAACCAGAGGGATTACAGGGCTGGAGCAGATCCCTTATGAGATAAAAATAGCACCTTTTTAGCATGGAACAAGGAAGGATAAGGGGAGACCTGATTAGAGGTGTATAACCGTAAATTCCAGGCATAATATGAAGAAAGAAGGCATTCTCATTATATTAGAACGTGATGACATTTATTGGAATTAAATGCAGAGATTGACAGAAGAAAATACTTTTTATAAAACATATAATTAAACCATGAAACTTCCTGGCAACCAGTTTAAATCATTTTAAAAGTGGAGTGAACAAATTCGTGAAGTTATCAATCACTACTGATATCAGTGGCTATTTTCTACCTCCTGAACTAGTCCTACTAATGCTAGTTGGTGGGAAGTGAACTATTATCCTACAGTCTGGGCTTGTGAGTTTTCCAAATGCTTCCAGTTGGCCACTGTGGGACACAGAATTCTAGATGAGCAAAATATTACAATTTAATAGAATGTTAGATGGGACTGTGGTCTGATCCAGCAAGGCTGTTCTTATGTTCTAATGGATAAGTCCATTATCCATAGCCATTTTCCAGCAGCACTCACAACATGCTGTTAAAATTCCAGGTGTATCCACCAGCCCCTAGCATTGAGGATCTTAGCATAGAAGGCTTTGTGTATGATATAGAGATGGAACAATTAGTTTATTGTTCATGTCTTACAGTTTGATCCCAGTACTTGGTGGAGATTAACTCTATAGGACAATAGGAACCCTTTACATTGGCGCATTGCCAAATGAATCTTCACAACAGCAGTTCATAAAGCCTCTTGAGATGAAGGGAATAATGCTTCTGTGTAAAATATAAAAAGATTCGTTCATTATGTGATAAACTTTCACTATGTTATTTTCATCTGTTCGCCCCATTAAGGCTTTTTTCCCCTCTATCTCTAAAAAAAAGCATACAGTTTACTTAGAGATGTGATTGATTTTTTAAAAAAATATATATGTTCCAGATTGAATAAAAATATATTATTGTCTATTCCAATGTACAAACCGTGGCCTTTCGGCAATCATTGTGTCAGCCTGGGTGGCAAAAGCCAATTTTTCTTTTGAACATTTTTGTAAAGGCTTTTGTTTCCCTTAACTTTTTAGCTAATGAGCCTTAAGTTTTTGTTTAAGTGTTCATGGATGGAGAAGAAATGGGAAGAGAGGGACACTTCCAATTCCTGATAATTGGTCTAGAAAAAAGGAGCAAAGAAAACCAAAAGTTCTCTGTTTTTGTGTGTGTAAATGGCATCTGGACTATGAGACCAGCATGCCTTCAACTGATGACTAAAGTTAGTGAACTGAGATGCTAATTGGCTGGAACGTGGAAACCAGGAACGATGTTCTATCATTGGAATTACAGAAACACAGTATGCCATTTGTTTTATTTTGCCTGCAAAGTTGCATTACTTGTTAGAACTGACTATTGTGGAATAATAGCAGGGTTGTGGATAACGAAAGAAACATGGAGGGCAAGAGTTAAAAAGGATTTTTACGCTGCCATCAACCTCAGTCAGCCATTTATCAAAACAGGATCTGCACAGAGAGATGCATCACAAGATGACTTTTTAAAAAATGACCTGAGAGCTAAATGCATTTGTTCTGAATGAATAAAGAGTTTTGAAAATCTAAGCGCTGTGGGAAATATATTGCTCTGCAGTAGTTAAGAAAATGGAAAGCAACAATCTCTCAGTGTGAGCCATTTTTAAAAAATTTTAAGTGCTTTATTTGAAGCAGAATTAAAAGTAGAAATTCTAAGGATTTTTTGTGCAGCGTAGTGATCCATGCCAGAGTAACTCACTTTGGAGTGTTAGGTGATTAAGCTCCCATATTGTGTTAAGCCATAAGTCATAGTTTACAAGCAAATGGCTGGGTTTGGTCCACATACTAAAACATAAGCAAATCACCTAATTATTGAGCATTTTATATGAGCCCAGTATCATGGGTGCATTTTACAGGGATGAATCTTTTGAAAGGTCTTAAGCCAAGTGAGAATGCTCTGGCATTATTCTTCAACCTGGTGCTCTTTGGATGCATGGCCAGGGGCCTGGGAGTTGCAGTCCCAGTGTCCTGGAAGAGTGCCAAGGTAGGGAAATCTGTATTAAGTCTACAGAAGCTGCTCAGAAGGAACTGCAGTCACCAAGAATTGTAAGGCTGGCATACCTAGCTCTTGGCTCCACCTGCCTGAAGGAGAAAACTTCCTACAAAATATACAAGAGTCCTTTGGGAAGAATAATAAAGCACCTGCTTTGGCCATCATAGGTTCCAACAGCAGATTTTAGCATTCCCAGGTATGGCTGTGAAAGAATCTAGTCTGAAACACAGGATTTGCTCTTACCTGATATAGACAATCCTGGATGAGGTTTTCCCTAAGACAATCTCTAAGACCTATCTGCAGCTGTCTAACTGATCTGGTACCCTCCAAGGATGCAGAGACTTAAATGTTCCAGAATCTTTTATCGTTTTGGACAAATTTGATGGAAATTTTACAGTCCAAGTCATTTGATAAAGCTAAAATATTCCCCAAGAACCCTCTAGGAGAGAGGAAAGAATGAATCTTTTTTTCAGCCAAGAATTGTGATTGGCCTTTGAAGCTGCAGTTTCAGAGGGAATGGGACTGAACAAAGGACAAATGTGATTTTACTTAAATACATGCAAAATAATTATTCCCACGTATTTCAAGTAAATATTTATTGTAGCCAACAGACTAGGAATAAACAGTGTATTTAACAATCTCTCGTTTCATACAAAAAAGAAAAAAAAACTTGGCAGGTGTGTAAGGGGTGAGTTGTGGGTTGGGGTACAGGCTGTGCATTCTTAACTCTAGAATTGGTTGTGGGGCCTTAGAGCTCAAGAGATGTTTTGATCCAGCCTCAGTTCTGATTTAAAAATAGAAGCAGGAGACCTTGACCAAGACGTTCCTTTGTCTCAGTGCTGCTTCTCTGTACAGATGTTTGGCTTTAAATCCCATTTGGTGGCCAGCAATTTTCTAGTCCATAACAAGAATAACAGTGCTTTTCCTTTCCTTAGGATACAGGTCATCCCTGCACAGCCAATGATCCTACCGGTTGCTTCACATCAGTGTCTCCTCAGCACTTCATAGACCTCTTCAAATTTTAAATGCAATCCATGGCGGGGGCTGGGGTGGTTTTTGTAAAGCTTTTGCATAACCATGCAGTACATGGGGTTTTTTGTGCAGTATTTTTCCTGATATGTGTTGAGTTAAACCTGATGTAATCAGGTCATAGAGCACTTCTATTAAAATGTTCAGTTTCTAGGGAGGAAGAAAAGAGAAGGAAAATTCACTTAGTAAGGAGAGAGATACCATGAAGAGATTGGTTTCTGTGAAAGGAATAATTGGAATTGGGCTATCTAGTTAATAGCCACCAACGCTTTAACCTTGTCTTTGAGCTTCAGTGAGATGTTTGGAGTAACAGGCACTGTTGTTGAAGTGAAAGTGACAGAAACTGATGAGTTTCTTCTTACTTGCCCAATTCTAAATATACGCAGTTGGTACTTCCTGTAAATAGTCAGAAGATACCCTTAGGACTTCTATGTATATATCATGTTGATTGTGAGCATTACACATGGGCAAAACATAATCCTGCATATCAGTTGTGTGGGAAAACCAACAATTCCATAGTGTAAATACATTCAGCACAATATTTATTTTCTTAAAACATGTTCTATTAATTATGTCCCATCTCTCTGTATCCTAAATAATGTGAGCGGCTGGTATCCTGGCTGATGAGCCAAGATGCTGTTTTCTGGGTGCAGTCCAATGGATTCTGTTGAGTGAGAGGTGTGGGTGGGTGTGTTTCTCCAGCCATCTCATTGATGTACTCTCAAGTCTTAACTGCCATCAGGCTTTGAGCAAAAGAGATGTGGCTGGGCTTTAACAGAGACTGGGACTTTGGTTGAAGCAGCACTATTGGAGTTTTGCTATGAACATCTTGGCCAGTTTCAGAGAAGCAGAAGAGAGTCTGAATGCTCTAGAGGCTACTCTGGGAATGGGATTGGCAGAAGAAATAGAGGGTAAACTTGCAAGAATCTCCAGTGGGTTCTGAAACTCTTAAACCACCATTTCCATATAAGAGAATACATAGATGAACACAGGATTTATGTTATGTACCACTGTGTGTATTGAATCTTAAGTTTCTACCCAAATAAATCATGTTTCATCTTTTAACTAGAGTGTGGAGTTCTTTATGTGAACACATTACATACTCCTGCTTTTAGCACTCCCTGCTTATAAACATGCATGCTTCATCTATATTTATATTGATTTATTGCTATAAGCTATGGAGAAAGGCTACCATGTGTTTTTTACAGTCAGGTGTAATTAACGTTTCCAGCATTTTCATAGCAATTCACATTAATATATTGCTACAATAGTCCTATGGGATAGCAGCCATTGTCATGCTTGTATCTCAAGTTTCAAGAAGGAATAGATTCCCAAAGATTGCATAAATCTTGCTCTTCTTTCTACTAACAAAAGAAAGATATAATTTTTTAAAAATTCTTGCTGAATAGCATTATCGGAGGGAACCGGTGATCACCCAAACGCACATCAGTGGCTAGTTCCTCCTCATCACCTTTGCTTGGATGCCCAATAGCTCATCTGAAGTTGGAGCCACCATGTGGGGGGGGGGATCAGAAATGGAGCTTCTCCTGAGCACTTGTGGCCCTCATTCCCACACACCCCTGCCCCCCCCCCCAAAACCACACATACAGAACATAAAGCCAGAAGAGTAGGTTTGGGGAAAAAACTCTGGATTAGTAAACTTGTTAAGTTATTCTAAAAGAAGCCATTATTACAAACTTGTGCATAAGGCACCCCTTAATCGCAATATGAGATAACATGGGTTCAAACTGTGTTTTCAAGTGGAGAAGCAGCAAGTCAGAAAAGTATGGTCTTTATCCTTATTCCTTTGCTGTTTTACTTAGATTATCCCCTCTCAAATGTCTTTTTGAAAGCATTGGAAGGCATATTATATACATCTGCATGTAATATTTAGCCTATAATACCTTTTTATACAATTTTGCATAAAATTCACATTTCCTCGGGAAAGAAGCTTCAAAACTAGAAATAAGCCTATACTTGAGGTATGACCAAGTTTTAACAAACTTTCTCAAAAGCCAGTGAAAAGAATCTAACCAAATCTACCTGTCAGAGCAAATGAAATGGGTAGAATAGCTTCTCCTTTTTTACTTGAAGCTACTGTATATGTGTGCCCTTCCTCAGGGTGGAAGTGAGGACTTCAAGGGGTGCAAAGGGGAAAGAGAAAAGAAGTTGCATTATGAGGCAGAAATCCACCTGCGCCGTGTTGATTTTCATCCGATGCAGATCTTTTGCTGGGATATCAGCTGCTACCAATTTGTATTCCAGTGACAAAACATGGACTATAGTCTTCATGCTGCATCCTGTCTTAAATTTGTACATTAAGTCATCCCATGACTCTGCAATGAACTTACCGGTTGCTTATGAAAAGAATTGAGTCTATTTTTCATCAAAAGGACTTCAAAGCTGTCTCTCTGCAAAAACACAGGATTCCTGGAGCTTAGATGGTGATGGTATGTCCACTCTTCTGTTGTTTTTTCTTTTTGTAAGTGCCTGATTGCAGGTGCACCGAACAGTAAATTGTGCCGATGAAGATGACTGCGTTTGATGTAAGAGGGCTGTTGTCTGGATGGCCCTAGGAGCCCTGCTCTTGTGGAATGTCTCCCCATTTCCCCCCACAGCTGGCGACTTTCACTGAGCGCATATTTGGATTCAATCCATTTTGTTCAAACTTGTGCTTATGTTGTACAATCTGGAGCCGTTCGAAACAAGGGAAGAGGCAACCTCCTTTTTCTGATCCTCTTGTTTATTCCCAATTATAAAGGTTTGCCAGGTTTAAGAGATGGGTTGCTTCTTAAAATTTGTTTTGGTAGTTTATTTGTATTTATTTGTTTGTTGCTATTTTAACTCTGTGAGCCACCCAGAATCACATTTCTGAGATGGGTAGCTATGATAGATAGATAGATAGATAGATAGATAGATAGATAGATAGATAGATAGATAGATAGATAGACAGACAGACACACACACACACACACACACACACATATTTTGGCTTGGGTTGACTTTAGGAGGGAAGGAATATCAAAGTTGGTCAACAACCAAAAATAACAGTTCCAACCATTCAGCTACATCATGGCTTATCTTATATAAATTGTAATCTCTGTGTGAAAGTCATTCTCAGCCTGGCAGCCATAATGAATACTATCTGCTTGCACTGAGGGTCTTCCATGGATCCATTTTCAAGTGACAAGTCTAGTTCTGAGGCAAGAGACATGAGGTCAGCCAGAGATGCTATTGAAGAAAAGGGTAAAAATACAGTGATAATGGCATGAAATCACTATCGGAGAGCACTCCAACAAAAAGACAATCTTTTGTGGCCCTCAACAAAGCATAGGTGTATATATATCGTTATAGAAATGTCTGGGTCTATGTCTGTGTGTGTTTATTTTAGCAAAGGTAAGTCATTTAAGCACTGTTTCTCAGGTCAAGTGGTTTCTAAAACTCCAGGGGCTTATTTGGTAAAAACTGCATCAGTAGTTGTGTAGCCTCCCCCCATCCCCACCCCCCCAGCATCCTGGAAGAAGACTTTTTGCCAAGAAAACTACCCAGCCTCACGATCTTTCCCATTTTAGCTTAGACTTGGCTTGTCTGAATCTTGGCATCTCATTCATGTTTATTCCTGCTTGAAATTAATTCGCTGCAATATAGCTACTTGGTTAATACAATTTAAAATCAAGATTAAAATAAGCGTATCACATCATTATCCCTTAACTCAGGAGAGCAGGAGGAGCTGGGTTTTGTTTCTGCTTTAAAATCAGCTCCGAGAGATGCAGTGAACGTTAGAGGAGTACAGTCAAAATGTTTGGCCTGTGGGATGGATAACCTTTGTTTTGCTGTTCATGGGTTGGAGGTAGAGGTGAAAGGAGCTAGGCCTAGCAGAGGGTTTATGTATCTGTTTAGTTCTTACTTTAATGAAATAACATGAAAAAAATGCATCACTGAGAATCGACATTTTCCCCTACATTTTGGGTGCCTCAGAAGTTCCAAAAACGGGTCTGGGGAGGAGACACTGGCAACTGACAGACCGCTTTCTCTCCCTGCTTTGATAGACAGAGATTAAACCTGGCCTTATACTGTGGCACTGACAGTGAATGGGGATAGTTTTGATTCTTCCACCTTGTGCCACTGACTAGTGGGGGGGGGGGGTCAGGAGAGAGAAAGTGGTGGTAACGCCGAGCCTGCTAAGGAAATTGCAACAATGCTTTTTCGCTGTTTTTCATCGTTGCAACATATCCCTCTTGTGTAAAAATAACCACGGAGATTGAAAAAGTGGTCTCAGAGTTAGTGGCAGTTTACCACACTCCTCGAGTTTTGCCATCCTTATTCAAGGACTGCAGCATAATGAGGCTGGACTTTTCATCCTTGGGCTGGAGGACTGTGTGTTGGTTTGGAAGAAGTGGCTGGGACTGGCTTGGACAACATACTGGGCTCCTCTCTGGGGGAGAGCTGGGGAATGGGGTGGTGAGTTTGGGCTTATTCCAGCTAGGTGGTTGGGAAAGGATGTGTGGTCCTTGCTGGTCAATGAGAGAAACTGGGAAGGATTGGAGGCTGTGGGCATCTGGATGGGAAAGAACAGGCTTTGTCTCAACCATAGCAAGACCAAACAGCTTTGGGTCTTAGGGCTTCCCAGAACCAGAGACTTTCCATCTTTAGTTTTTGATGGAGTTGCACTGCCCCCAACAGAACTGGAGTGCAATTTGGCAGACCTCCTGGACTCACAGCTCTTGTTCAAGGAACAGATGATCTTGTGCACCAATTGTGCCCTTTACTGGACTGGGAGGCATCATTCATGGTCACTCATGCCTCGGTCACTCCGGAAGGGATTACTGTGCAGCCCTCTACATTGGGCTGCCCTTGAAAACACTTGCAGGCTGCAGCTGGTTCAGAATGCAGTGATGCAGGCAGTTATGGATGCTCCTCAGCACACCCATGTTACACCATTGCTCTGTGAGCTGCACTGGCTTCCAGTAGACTTATGGGTCCAATCAAGCTGTTGGTTATCACATATAAAGCCCTGCATGGCATGGAGCCAGGTTAATCATGGGACCGCCTTTCTCCAATTGTTTCTGCCTGGCTCACTACAGCCAGTATGATGGGGATGTTCCCAATCTCATCTATTAAGCAGTGCCAGTTGGTGGGACCCAGGAAGAGATATTTTGGTCACAGCTATTTCCCTTTGGAACATCATATCCACTGAGATTCATTTGGCTCCAACTCTGCTGGCATTTTGTAAGTTCTTAAAAACCTGGCCGTTCCCCTGGCAAGGGGCCTGCAGGTTGGGTGAGCTTGTCAAAGTAGTTTTTTCCTTGACCTGCCTCTGGTTGTATAGCTTGAGTTAGATTGTCCTTGGGTGAAATGGCATTATTATTGTGTTACCAATGATGATGATGATGATAATTGGTTTCTAATCCTATGTTCATTGCCCAGAGTTGAAATTCTGAGATGGGCAGCTTTATAAATTGGTATAATAAATAATAAATATTAAATAAGGCTAAAACCATCTTCTGAACTGTTGTGTAATAGTGGAAATGTTGAGGACTGTTTGGTTGAGCAGCTGGGGTTGGTGAAGCAGACTACTTTCATGTTCAAAAATCCATGTAAACATCTGACTGGCCACCCTCAGAAAAAGAGACTGTTGAGCTCTATTAACCTTTTGTCTGACTTAGTAGGACAATGTCATCTGTCACCTTTTTAAGACTCAAGGACACTTTCATTAAAAAATGTGCACTATTGAAAGGAAATGATTATATACTACCTAATATTGACCCTGGCCAGAATCCAAGGCACAGCTGGAGATAGAAGGAACTTGAATTTACAATAAGATGCCTTAGTTGATAATGCAAGAGAGCTCAAACAGTTTTTACATTTTTTCTGGAATGTTTTATCATGTGAAAAGTGTGTTTACATTTAAGCAAAGCCAATTATGTTAGTGCAAAAATAATAATAATAAAAATCTGCTGTATGTTTTTATGGGCCTTCTTCAGTCTGAAGGAAATCAACCCATAGAACTTCTTAGACAATAGTTTACTTCCTAATGGGAAGTGAAGCCTGATTTCTTTTCCTTTGGTCTGTGGCT